AACCGTAGGCAACAGGGATTGCTTTATGAAGGTCACCAATGGGGTATTGCCCTGCCCCATCTTACCTGGTGGCCAGTTTCTCTTTGTTCCCAATGGAACCAATGGCCTTGAGAGGTGGTAAGTGCTCCAACACAGGAGGCATTCGAGTGAAATTTAGACAACCCCCTGCCAGATTTCCTTTGATTTGGATTCCTGCCTTGATCAAGGGGTTGGACCCAATGGCTTTAGAGGTCTCTTTCAACTTCATAATTCTATGATTCTATGAATCTGCTTTGGCTTTTAGTCTGAACATTTCAAGAGCTGAAACGAATTGAAACTGTTCTTCAGCACCTTGGAGAGTTCTTGGCTTCCCTCCTGGTGGGTCCCTGAAGGAACCTAGGCTGGAAAGATATGGTGGGTCAGGCAGGTGACATTGGGGAGAGAAGCTAGCATGGCCTGAAACCATGAAAGGCTTGAGACCTGAGCATCAAAACCTTGAACCGGATCCAGGATGCAATCAGTAAGCAGTGGAGAAGAAAACTTGTAGAACTTTTCAATAAGAAAAGCCCCACTGAAACAGTGGATCTTGATAGCTCAAACCTGCTTTGAGCACATCACAATGTTAAGTTAATGTAATCCAGAGAAACGAGACACAGCTTTTTTAATAGGTGAGAAATATTTGAAGGGGAATTTACGCTCCCCCAAAGTATATCGGCGAATGAAGATAAAAAAATAACACTTCTTTATGCTTTGGCTTGAGAGAAATTGTGGCTTTGTTTGGAGAGTGGTTTGTTTGAGTGGAGTGGCCCTCGAGTCGCTCTGCACCCTCCTGGGATCGGCGATGTTTGCTAACGTTTTGTAAACGTTCTCTGTGCAATTAATTCTATCCACGTAAATGTGTCTGTTTCCAAAGCAAACGGTGAGTGGTAATCATTGCATGGCAATCTTGAGAACTGCAAATGAGGCAGGGGGGAGCCAAAGAAATTTTTTTATATATATACCATATATAGCCAACCCCTTAATTGAATTTGCAACTCACAAAGGAGCTGGGCTCAGCTGTTGCAGTGTTTATTTTGCTTCCTCTAATGCTCAGGCAAATTGCTAGAGAAATCATATATAAATCTATCTTTCTCTCTCTCTTTCTGAGAAATTAAGTGTTATCTAAGAAGGAAGCTGGCAGCTGTTTTAATAGCAGTTGTTTATAAATCCTAGCTAGTCAGGTTGACTGAGAATCCTCTAGATGCATGGTTCCCAACCTTGCGTCCCCAGGTGTTCTTGGACTAAAACTCCCAGAGGCCTTCACCATAGCTGTGATGGCCAGATTTTCTGGGAGTTGTAGTCCAAGAACTTCTGAAGACCCAACATTGGGAACCACCGACTTAGGTCTTCTAGTACTCAAAGGTGGGAAGTGGAAGGTCTGAATGTAAAAGGTTGCCACGTGTTTTGGGGTAGAGCTCCAGTGTGCTTAGACTTTGCAGAGAGGATTATTGGGGATGGCCAAAGGAAGAAGTGGCCAACATAAATGTGGGCAGCTGGCTTGAGCATCAGAATTAACTGTACGGCTTATCTGACTATATAAATCAAGAACATCTGGATAACTCAGTGGTTTAGACATCTGGCTGTGGAACCAGAGGTTGGGAATTCAGGTACCCACTGTGCCTCCTTGATGAACTGGACTTGATAACCCATAGTATCCCTTCCAGCACTGCAGTTCTGAGAGGACCATTGCTATTATTATTCTAGATCAGTGGTTCTCAGACTTGGGTCTCCAGATGTTCTTGGACTGCAGCTCCCAGAAATCCTGGCCAGCACAGCAAGGGGTGAAGGCTTCTGGGAGTTGCAGTCCAAGAACATCTGGGGACCCCCAGTTTGAGTGCCACTTTTCTAGATATCATGGTATTCTTCAGATCTATTGGATTATGAATTTAAAAGCAAGGAATGTGTGAACATTCAAAGGGGCTAATGGAAAATGTATAGATCAAAAAGAATTATGCAAACAATGGGAAAGTACAGAAAGAGAGAGAGAAAGCAGATATTGGGAACACTCATAAATGAATATGAATTTTCATGCGTAATGGGGGAAAGCCATCATGATTCAATTCAAAACAAGCTCTGTAGGTGAGTTGGAGAAACTGAACGAGATTAAGGTTGATGGACTTTCAGATTCCTAGTTCTAATGGCAGTGGCTTGTGTTTCTTGTTTTTGTATGAAAATAGTGATGCAGAATAGCCCAACATGCCTATTTTAAAGATGTGCAAATACAAAAGCTGATAGATCTAAACAACAGGTGAGATTCAGGCGCTTCTTTAGCATCTCACCCCTTCTAGCTGTTCTATCGGTCTTGTCCTCTCCTTCTGATGGGTAAAACGAGATGTCGTTGGAGAGGTGTTGAAATGCAGACTGAATCAAAGCTATTTGTGCATCTCTGGGTTGACTATGGGGCAGAGTAGAGGGCCCCAGGACACTCACAAAGTGGGGCAGGATGCTGCCCCACATACCTCCCATGTTAAACCCATCATATTACGGGGTTAAACATATTTTAAAAGGTGTCATGCAATTAAAATGGGGAAAGGGGAACGGAAAGTATCAATACCTTATGCAGATGATGGTGAGACAGACAGTAATGCGGTGGAGCGGGTTGGGGGCCCACTGCACATCGTTAGGTAGAACTACAATAAACATATGCACCTCTTGCTTTCCAACCATCTGACCTCTAGTAAAATGGAAATATTTTCCCTTCAATGTTTACGAGTCATTTTTGGCAGAAAGTACAGCTGCCCACAGTCTTTCTCAGAGATTATAACACCGTCAACAGAATGTAGATTCCAAAAATACCGTACCAAGAAAGGGGAAGGTGTGTTCATGATTAATGATGGTTCAATTGAGTATGAAAAGTGTTCTTTAATTGTTGCAAAACAGCTCAGAGGCAGCTGCAGAGAAGCATAATCTGCTATGGCTCATTTCTAGGAAATCAGAGTATAATCATCCTAACTCCAGCCCCAAATATGAGAAACATCATTTTTCTCATTCCACCCCTTCCCAGATATCTGAAAAGTCTTCTCCCAGTTAAGCAAGAACATAACAGAATTGAAGAATGTAGGCCTGGGAGTGGGCATAAAGAAGGGGTATGATAAAATCTTATCAATGGCTGAAATCCAGAAGTAAGTCAAAACTAAGGGAGACCCATTGAATCAGTGGAGTTTTGGTGAGTCAACTGCCCCCTTTGTTCCTTTGATTCAATGGATCTACTATGTTATTACAGGATTTCTCCCATGACCTTGTTCACTGTCAAGCCATACTAGCTCAATGCTTTTAGATAGCCTGTTGAAAAGTTTCCTGCTTTTCATCTCCAGTCTGAGAGTGAGACGCAGAACAGGTTGTTGCTATTTGACCACAATTTGTGCAATTTGAGCAAACATCACTAGCATTCTCATCCCCCTTGTCTTTTTGTTCCTAGAAGTGGCTATTCAGAGGTATAGTTCTCCTCTACATGGAGGTTTCTTTTGGCTGTCTTGGCCATGGATTGAATTTTTTACATTGCCCTTTGAAAAATTCTCCTTGCTGTGATAGCACATTTATCTGGTGCATGATGATGGTAGTGAAGCCAAAGGAAGGTTTCTGAAGCCCAAGCTGTATGTTATAGGTAGTGTGTCATTAGAGAAGAAAATTCCTTAAGCACAGAAAACATCTTCCAATTATTGCAACATGAGTTTTTCCACAACTCCCATGCTTTTCAAATCAGCGTCCTTTTTTTGATGACCAGTCATGGGGAGGTAAGCAACCATGATTGCTACATCAGAAAGGGATGCCTGAATCATGTGTCTGTTGCACAAACAGAATTCCAATATGAATGATGGTCTACCTGTAATGTGTAATTTGGCCCACAGGAACTGGAGGTAGCAATCTATAAAACCCACTGAAAAGAACCAGAGATTTATTTTTCTTTCCCAAAATAATTTCTAGAATGTCTTTGTGAGGATGTTTTTTGGTTTAACATCTGCTCAGTTGCTAAGATCATCAAAAGAGGCCTTTTTCTCGGCCCCACCATTACCTTCGCAGGTACATTTGGTGGGGACACAGGAGAGGGTTTTCTCTGTGGCTGCTCCCAGACTTTGGAACTCTCTCCCACTGGAGGCCAGCCTGGCCACCTCTTTGCCATCCTTCCGGAAGCAGGCAAAGACCTTCCTCTTCTGACAAGCTTTCTGACTGCCTGGGTAGTTTGTTTAAAAAATGGATTGTTATGCTTTATTGCTTTGAAAATGTTTTTGGTGTTGTTTTGTCTACCATTTTTTAGTGTGACGTTTGTTTCATCATTTTCAGTATTTCTATACTTACTGTTAGCTTTACATATTGTCCTTTATTTATGTAAGCTGTCTTGATTACTTTTTAAAGGAGAAAGACATGATAAATATATTTTAAATAAATAGCCAATATTTGGGGGATACGGTGCTGCCTTGCAAGACGAATGTAATTTATTCCGTGAGAATCGCTGTCTTGCGAAAAAATCGTCTTGTTAGGTTCCCTATGGGAACCTTGCAAGACAAATGAAATTTATTTGTCTTGCGAGGCATTAGTCTTGGGGGAAAAAAACATGTCTTGCAAAGCATTTATTTGTCTTGCGAGGCATCAGTCTCAGGGGAAAAAAAACACGTCTTGCGAAGCGTGGCCATAGAAGAAACCATCTTGCGAGGCACCATAGCGATCGCAAAAAACAATCATCTTGCGGGTTTTTCGTCCCGCGAGGCATTCGTCTTGCGACACACCACTGTACTTTTTTCTTATCTGTATTTGCTAATATGAGTATAATTTCTTTCTTTCTTTCTTTCTTTCTTTCTTTCTTTCTTTCTTTCTTTCTTTCTTTCTTTCTTTCTTTCTTTCTTTCTTTCTTTCTTTCTTTCTGTTGATTGGTATATAATGCAATCCCTTCCCTTCCAGCTCTGCAGTTCTAAGATTGTTAATCGATTAATTTAACTAATTAAGCATCCTCTTTGTTTTCTGCACCCTTTTGTCTTGCTGCACAGGTCACGAAGGGGCACAAGGTGGCGCTGTCCTGCATCAGTTACATCGGTTGCTCCCTGTCCATCTTCTGTCTGAGCATCACCCTGATCACGTTCGCCGTTCTCTCGTGCGTAATTTTAAGTTTCCTTACCTGCTGGACCAATTCCAACCCTAGAAATAGTCACATCTGTACTTTTAAAAAAACGCTTCATTTTGCTTCATTGGACAGATGCTCTCACGAGTTTCATAAAAGGTTATTAATGCCTTAAACTTCTTTAATTAGATTCTGCATATATATTTGTAACACTTGGCCGGTTTGGGTCTAAATGACTTTAATTTCCTGCAACTAGGAAGGGAGGCGCTTTGAAATAGCAAGCGATTTCCTTGCCGTTTATTCTTCAGTGGTTCCTGTCGTTGCTTTCCCCGCTGGGGAAGGGACGGGACTTTTAATAGGGAAAAAGAACAAACAGAACCCACAATGTGCTTGTGTGATTTTGAGGGGTTGTGCGTGAGAGAGCGAAAAAGAAAAAGCAACTATCTCCACGATGGGATTGTAAGTTTCATTCATTTTTCCAGCAGGAGAAAAGTGTGTCAGGAATCAAGGTGCCTGAACTAAAAGGTGAACCTGTTCATTCAGGAAGAGTGGAGGGGAGAGACCTCTGAACATCGTGACCGAACCCCCTAAAGTTGCATTTCTGAAATATGTTTATGCAGAATTTAATTAAAGAACTTTAAGGCATTCATCACTTTTTATGGAATTTCAACTTCTGAACTCTAGCACCCCCTAGAGGTGGTGATCAAAAGCTTTTCCACTTGGGGAAGGTGCTGTTTCTGAATAGCAAACTACTCCGGAGTACCCTCTGTGTCAGTGAGAATCCTGATTTCCCAGGGTTCCTTATTCACAGGTATAGCCTACTCACAAACATTAACTCCTTCCTTATAGAGGGGGAATTTTCCACGTATGGAAAGTGGCAACGGAGAGGGACCGTGAAGATGCTTGATGATATTTGAGTGAAGTGTGGTGGGTTTTTTATCAGTGAAGGTAACACCTGAAAAGGGCCACTGTCTCTGGTACCTACCATATTTTTCCGTGTATAAGACTTTTTTAACCTACTTTTCTAACCCAAAATAATGTGGAGCTTAGCAAGTGGAGGGGAAAGCAGGGATCAAAGCCCTGCAAGATCACTTTGATCCCTGCTTTCCCCTCCACTTATTTTTGTTCTTTCCTCAGCTTACCTCCGTGTATAAGACGACACTCAATTTTTAGTCTAAAGATTTTAGACGAAAGTATAGTCTTATACATGAAAAAATATGGCAAATACTTATCGGAACTAGGCCTTACCATCCATTCCTCTGTGGATGGTCCAATCAAAGTATAGTCTTATACATGAAAAATATGGCAAATATCAGAACTAGGCCTTACCATCCATTCCTCCGTGGATGGTCCAATTCTGCTTCAAAGCTGTTGTGTTTGAGGTCCTTCTCAACATCTTGTGATAGCAAAGTCCACTCTTCCGTTATGTAGTGGGAGAAAAACTGTCCTAAAATGAGACTCCCAGTTTGTGGACATAGAAACTTACCCTCCCTATCCAGAGAACAGAGGGAGAAAAACCTCTCCTTTAGAGAAGGTCATACAGCTCTGTACCAGAAAGGCACCTGTTTTCCCCATTTGCCTTTTCTAGATCTATAGGTAGATTGGTAGCTTTAGGCTTTCTTCATCCTTCTCTTGCCATGGTCCTGATCAGCTTCTCCCTTCTCCCAGCTAAAGAGAGGCAGATTCACATGACCTCTCCACAATGACTCCCATGCACAAAATCCAGCTTTAGGGGGCGCTGTCACTAAATTCAGAGGTCTTTCCCCTGCACTCTTCCTGAATGAATTTTCTCGAGAAAACCCAAATCGACAGAGGTGGTGGCACTTTAGCAGTGCTCCACACGAGTTCTACAAGATTCAGAATGTAACTTTAAAAAGGAGATCATGGGTTTGTGTTGGCTGAGGTTGGCTGAGATGTTTAAGCTGCTAAAGGTTGAGTTTTGTTATCTCTCCAGAGACATTCAACAACAGAACACCTTGTGATTCGTGATGTTCGGGCCAGCTGGCTCCTCCAAGGAGTCCTCCCTCAGCCCTCTACCGCTAGAATCTTAATGCGATTTGGGAAGCCAGCGATAAACACTGTATTTCCATATTTATAGAAAAACTCACCCATATGTAGATAATAGCACAACGCACAGTATTTATGAAGTGCCAGCTTTGATATAAATATGGAAGGTCTGGGCTGGATCCTCCACTTTGGTGCCAGAAGCCTTGTCAGCTTCCCTTGAGTTACTCCCCTAGACCCATCAGATAAGGATCAGGCCCCAAGGCTGCTAATTATGGAATGATTTTAGATGGATGCATTTCCAGAAGAGACGTGGATGCCCTCATCAGTGTGACTTCTATTATGGTGAGGAAAATGAAAACGGATGTGTTGTGTTAACAGTCCAATCTTTCTTCCCCTCTCTGCCCCTCTCTCTCAAATTATATCCTTAACGAACTTGCTTTGTACTTATTAGTTCACTTGCAGCTCTTTGCAGTCTTTGACATTTGAGAAGGAAGGAGGCAAGAAACCAGCTAACCCACTGGTCTAGCTTGTTTCTATCTGGTTATGCTACAGGCTGCTGCAATAGGATCTTTGCATGGAATCCCATATAGTGTGGAATCATCAGCAGGGCTGGCCTGAGAGGTGGCACCATCTTGGGCAAAGGAAGAGATAGTGCCTCCCCTTCGCTCCACCTCTTGGAACTAATTGACAGTTCAACCTCATTTCAACAGTAGCAGCTCAACACAATGCAATGGCATCCTCAGCGGAAGCAAGGCAATGCAACTCAACCCAACCCAACCCAACGCAACTCAACCCAACTCAACCCAACCCAATGGAGCCCAACCCTACCTAAATCAATGGCATCAGAGTTCCTCCTGAAGGACAACTCATTTAGGGACTATGGACCAAGTACATACAGCTCTCTTCTTCAAGACAAGCAAATATTCAGGGTCCAGGAGGAACAGGGATAAGCTGTCTCCCCTTCTACCTGAGATCCAGGAAAGCACCAGCAAGGGGCTGTGAGGCAGGGACAGCAATGAACCTAGTTTTCCCTTGAGCTTCCAAGGTGCTGTCCATGGTGCTGAATCTAAATTTTGGTGACTGGGAATCGAGTTCACTTCTTTGTAATGTTTGGGCTGAAACTCGGAGTGGATGTACTCCCCCCAATAATGTCAAAGCCACCATCCTCTGGTCTGAGACACCTGTCCCATTTTAGACATTACAATTTAATGCATGCTTGCTCAGAAGTAGGTCTGACTGTATTCAGTCAGTCTTAGTTCTAGAACAATGTGCACAGGAAAGAGCAAACCAAATATACCAGGCGACTGGGTGCATTTTGAAATCTAATGAAGTCCAGCTTAGTCTGGAAAAGTGAGTAAGTTTAACAAATGGTGCCTTGAAGATGAGTTATAAAAGATACATATTCTTCTTAGGAAGCTAACCATTTATTTTATTTTATTTTTTGCCCCCACAGCTCTGTCAGCACCATCCGTAACCAGCGATACCACATTCATGCCAACCTGTCTTTCACCATCTTAGTGGCTCAACTCCTTCTCCTCATAAGCTTCCAGTTCAACCCGGGGACGGTAAGAGGTGGACGCTGGGAGGCCAGTTTTATTCTTGTAACTTGAGTACCTCACTGATAGGGCATGTGATTTGCATGCATGCGGAAGGTCCTGAGTTCAAGTCCCAGCATGCCAGCTGGGAAAGAATCCTTAAGAGCCACTCCACCAACTTCTATAAGACTTCTCCATCTATTTCCAACCATATCATTATAGCAGGAGGTTCCGGTTTGTTGACTAGCCCAGTGGTTCTCCACCTTCAACCCTCCATTAGAGGTTTGCTCTTTCAGGTTTTTTGGATGCCAGGTCCCAGAATTCTCCAAGAACTCCCCAAACAGAATTCTGGGAGTTTTAACCCACAAAAACATGCTTACAAACACCCACATTTTGCTTACCTGGAAATGGGTCTACCTCGTTGCATGGCTTTCTCCGACTTTGCTTCCTCCTAGAGTTAAAAAAAAAAGGGAAGCTGAAACAGTACTTCCCGAGAGTCGTAGTTTCACTTCCGAATTGTCTCTGTAAAGCCGTGGTCCCCAATCTTGGGCCTCCAGATGTTCTTTTGTGCTACAACTCCGAGAAGCCTTCCCCCCCACCTCCGTCAGCCAGGATTTCTGGGAATTGAAGTCCAAGAACATCTGGAGGCCCAAGGTTGGGGACCACTACTGTAAAGCGCTGATTGGGCATATCATAGTCTTTGCTGAATATTATTGCAAGCTGCCTTGAGTCCCATCTTCGCGAGAAACAGAGGCTATATATTCAACCAACCAACCAACCAACCAACCAACCAACCAACCAAACCAACCAACCAAACCAACCAACCAACCAACCAATGCACTAATTAATACACTTTTTCAGTTTGCTCAGTGGTTTAAGTATCTGGCTGTGGAGCCAGAGGTTGGGAGTTCAATTCCCCACTGTGTCTTGACAAGGGCTGGTGATCCATTGGATCCCTTCCAGCTCTTCAGTTGTAAAATGATGATCATCATCATATTATTCTTGGACAGAGTGCTTTCAGCTTGCCGTGCATCTCAATATCTCTCTGCTTGCCCTGCTTTTGTTACAGGTGCCCTGCAAGGTCCTGGCTATTCTCCTCCATTTCTTCTTCCTGAGTGCTTTCACCTGGATGCTAGTGGAAGGCTTTCATCTCTACAGCATGGTGATTAAAGTGTTTGGGTCAGAAGAGAGCAAACATGTGTACTACTATGCTGTTGGATGGGGTAGGTGTCATTTCATCTTTCTGAGAGCTAACACAGCCAGCCTTCCTTCCTTCCTTCCTTCCTTCCTTCCTTCCTTCTGGTGGAAACAGATGGGTGCAAAAGTAATAACAATTATGTGCTGTCCAGACACTTCTGACAACCCTTAGTGGAGTTTCACCATTCCTGTCTTGTGGGAGTGCTTTGGGACTATGCAGTTTGATCCAAGACCCTACAGGAATGATTCCCAACTTGGGGTCCCCAGGTGTTCTTGGACTGAAACTACCAGAAACCTTTGCCACTCGCTGCACCTGCCAGGATTTCTGGGAGTTGTAGTCTGAGAACATCTGGGGACCCAAGGTTGGGAACCATTGCCCTACAGAGTAGCTCGACCCCCCCAAAGAGACACAGAGGGGATCTCTTGACGCTTAGGTGCTCTGGTTCATCTGCTAGGTCAACAGATGAAAACAAAACTGAGATGGTGGTCTTTTTTTTAAGCTCAGACCCAAGATGTTTAGGGCTTTAGAGGTCAAAACTCACACTTTGAATGGTGTTCGGAAATGGATTGGCATCCAGTGGAGCTGCTGTAACAAGGGGGTTTATATGATTCCAGTTAACAATATGTCTGCTGTGCTTTTGACCCACCGAAGTTTATAAAGTCTATAAAGCCAAGTCCGAGCGAGGGCGCTGTTTCCTTGTGGCGCCAAACAGCACAAAGCTACTGTAACAGGAGTGTTATGTGATCCTTGTAACCATGAATATCTACACATCATTGTAACAAAAAGTCAACTATTTAGGTGATCTCGTTGTGAAGCTTCTCTGCTCGTCAAACAAAGACCCTGTCCATCTCCTGCCAAATGTGTGAAGAACGTCAAAGCCCTTGCATACCAGACTCCTACCACGTCTCATTACATTTCTTCCCCTTCCAAGGCTGGCTTTTAAGCTCATTGTTCAGGAGACACCGAGATGAGACTTGTCAACGTTCCTTAGCGAGGGAAAGAAAAGGGAGCTGTCCCCTCGGAACAAAACAGAAGTGCGAGCAAAGGCTTCTGAGAGGACAAGCTATCAACGTAATTAGGGATAATTTCGAAAATATTTTAAAACCGGCATTATTCTGCTCCATTCAAAAAAAAAAAAAGCAACATCTAATTATGGCCATTATGTAGCCCTACTGCCATTCTCGAAGGAATATGTAACACCTTGGCTGTGTTCTGGAAAACAGAAACTGAATAGCGTTCGTTTCAACTTTTCCTAATTCTTGCTTGTACCATTCCTCTTTGAATCACCCATCCACCACGCTCTGTTCATTCTCTTCCTTGAACATCTTTATCTGTAATTGTGAAATCGCTCATCTTCACCATCATCTCCCCAGAAGAGTGGTTCCCAACCTTGGGGCCCCCCCAGATGTCCTTGGACTACAATTCCCAGAAGCCTTCACCGCTCGCTGGGCTGGCCGGGATTTCTGGGAGTTGTAGTCCAAGAACATCCGGGGACCCAAGGTTGGGAAGCGCTTGCCCTAGAATATAGACTGCATGCATGTGAAATCGCTCATCTTCACCATCATCTCCCCAGAAGAGTGGTTCCCAACCTTGGGGCCCCCCCAGATGTCCTTGGACTACAATTCCCAGAAGCCTTCACCGCTCGCTGGGCTGGCCGGGATTTCTGGGAGTTGTAGTCCAAGAACATCTGGGGACCCAAGGTTGGGAAGCGCTTGTCCTAGAATATAGACTGCATGCGTGTATGATAAGTATGGTATTTTGTAAATTCTTGTTTAGGGGTTCAAGTTACTCAAGGCACAAGGAAGAACAGTAATAAATGGAGGGGTTTTGCCTGACATTACCCTCTGCCAATGGAAGGGTGGCTCTCTAGGGCCGGCCCTAACATCAGGCAAAGTGAGATCAATTCGTGGTGTCCTGCTATTGAATTGATTCCTGGTATGGTCCGATTCCCAGGTAAGAAGTGCCTGTGGCTTTTTGTACAGAGCAGAGGTTGGGAGTTTGATTCCCCCACTGTGCGCCTCTTGGGAGAAGAACTAGCCTGGTTAGCCTTGGGCAAGCTGCACTGTCCCAGGGCTCCCCCTAGAGGAAGGGAAGGGTAAAACCCTTCTGAGTTTTCTCTAGCTGGAAAACCCTGAAAAAGGGGCCTCCTAAGTCAGAATTGACTTGACGATACATGACTATTAAAGATATGGGTGAAACGTTGGCCCCTTGCCTCTGTAATTTGCAAGAAGAGTGGAAACTCTTTGCTGCGTCCCCTTACACAATGTTTCTCTCATTCCACACTGCCACGTGCTTTCCTAAACATTCGTCCTTTGCTTTAGTGGTTTGCTGAACTCAAGCGTTCATTATGTGGGAAACGGTCCGTGCCGGATTTTTGCACTTCACCTCTCTGCTACCTTCGAGGTTGCATTTCTTCTTCCTCTTGTTTGCCTGCCTGTTGGGTTTCTGCTCAGAGGCGTTTGGGCTCTGAAGCTGTTCGAAAGATCAATTTTGTCTGTTGGGCGCGGGCGTCTTGGCTGGCACACTCGACGGAGTCCCTAGGGTTTTTTCTCGCGCAGTCCGGGTGAGCTAATGAAATGGAATCGTACAGGGCAAGACAGATCCCTCCCCTGAAAACTGGAAAAGCACCAGCTTCAGAGGGAAAAATCAACAAACACATTCAGAACTGGGTCTCTAGAGGAAGTGTGCGCACATCTTGTGTTTGTGTGACACGTGGCTTGTTTACAGGGCTTAGGAAGAGTCGTGGCTCAATATCACGATCCTTCTGACTGCCCTTAGCTGTCGAAATTTATTCTGACTCATTTAGAAAGGTATCGCTCACTGCTCTCGTAGTGCTGGCACGCCACTCAGACTGGCTCATAGCTAAATAATATTAATCACATACCATCAGGTCAATTCTGACTTATGGTCACCCTTTTCCGTGTTTCTCAGGTAGTAAGTATTGAGTCACATACCATCAGGTCAATTCTGACTTATGGTCACCCTTTTCAGGGTTTCTCAGGTAGTAAGTATTGACGTGTTCCATTCCCTTCTTTTGGGGGCACCTTGAGACAGTGCAGCCAGCCCATGACTACACAGGCTGGCTCTTATCTCAGGAGACACAGTGGGGGAATCGAATTCCTAACCTCTGGCTCTGCAGCCGGATACGTAAACCAATGTAATGCGCTCTACGTGGGGCTTCCTTTGAGGTTGCTGCGGAAATTACAGGTGGTGCAGAATGCGGCGGCCAGATTACTCAGTGGAGTGAAAAAGTTCCAACATATTTCGCCCACTCTGGCTGCATTGCATTGGCTGCCCATCAGGTTCCGCATCGACTTCAAAGTGTTAACGCTTACGTATAAAGCCCTAAACGGTTTAGGGCCTCGATACCTGGCGGAACGCCTATTCCCACCAAGTTCTACCCGGATCACACGGGCGAGCCAGGAGGTGAGGCTGAGGAGCTTAACGCCGAGGGAGGCCCGAAAAGAGAAAACAAGAAATAGGGCCTTCTCGGCGGTGGCTCCTCGCTTGTGGAATAATTTACCTCCTGGTATTCGCGGAGCTTCCTCGCTGGGTACCTTTAAGAACCTATTAAAGACCTGGTTGTTTCGGCAGGCCTTCTCACCAGATTACTTTTGATTTTCTTTTCTCCTTTATTGTTTCTTTACTTTAATTGTTTTGTAATTTGTTGTTTTATTTTATTGTATTTTATCTTTGTTGTTGGCCGCCTAGAGTAGTCCATCGTGACTAGATAGGCGGGATATAAATAAAATAAAATAAAATAAAAATAAATAAATGAGATCTCAGACATTTTGGCTCTTTTTATTTTGCCCTTTTTCTCTTTTCTTCCATTTCGTTTTCCCCTTGTATCAGGGAGCTAGCTCATGGGGCAGAGATTCAGCTCTGAGGGATCAGCACCACGGAGAGCTCTAAGTGGGCCACCTTGCTCCAATAATGGATTCATTATAGGTTCCTAGAAGAATGGAGTCGGAAGAGCCCTTGAGACCAGCCCCCTGCTCGAGGCAGGGATCCAAATTAAAACAGACCAGACAGAGGGGGGGGGGTCCAGTTTTCTCTTGAAGGCCTCCAGCATTGGAGCACTGAGATCGTTGGTTCTCCATCGTCATACTCCTCTAAGAGTTAAAAAGTTTTTCCTGCTATTCACCCTAAATCTGGATTCCTGTCACTTGAGCCTATTATTATGCGTCTTGCGTTCTGGAATGATGGAGAACAGATCCTCCTCTGTAGGACTGCCCTTGAGCCTATTATTATGCGTCTTGCATTCTGGGATGATGGAGAACAGATCCTCTCTGTAGGACTGCTTTCCAAGTATTTGAAAAGTATTTGAAAAGTGATATCCTTTCTCCCCTCGGACTTCTTTTCTCAAGGCTAAACATTGCCCAGTTCTTTCAGCCTTTCCTTCTAAGGCTTGGTTTCCAGATTCCCTGATCCTCCTTGTTGCCCTTTCATGAGATGACAAACTTTCATGCTCTGTGCCCGAGGCCCTTCCCAGACTCCAGCTCTCAAACTAGGGAGACTTTGAGGGGGCAGACCTTTTACCTAAAGCTAAACATACTTCCAAAATATTGTGCCAGAGATGCTGCTGGCACTGGTGGACTGGCCAAATGGATTGTCAAGCTCTTGGGACAGCAGCGTGTTGTTCAAGTGTTGGAACAAAGTTCAAGGCTGCCAACGTTAGTCCAGCCTGAAAGGTCTTGAGTTCTAGGATTGCTGGTTCCACAGGGAAACTGGAACCCAGCACTTATTTTGTGAACATCTGGTTTCTCAACCTCTGACTGTAGATTCTGGTCATTGCTCAACTCCATGGTAGAAACTGGAACCCAGCACTTATTTTGTGAACATCTGGTTTCTCAACCTCTGACTGTGGATTCTGGTCATCGCTCAACTCCATGGTATTGCCATTAACAACAACAACAAACAACAACAACAACAACAATTGCATGCCCAACAACAACAACAACAACAACCAAAAAAAATTGGATGCCTTCAAGTTGATGCTGACTTAAGGCAACCCTTTTGAAGGTTTTCTAGGTAGAGAATACACAGAAGTGGTTTATCCTTTCCTTCTTCTGTAGGCACCTTGGGAGTGTCCATCTTGCCCAAGGCTACCCAGGCTGGCTCTTCTGGAGCGGACAGAGGACAATCGAACTCCCAACCTCTAGCTCCACAGCCAGATACCTAAACCACTGAGTTATCAAGCCGGCTTTATGACACTTTTGAAGGTTTTCTAGGTAGAGAATACACAGAAGTGGTTTATCCTTTCCTTCTTCTGTAGGCACCTTGGGAGTGTCCATCTTGCCCAAGGCTACCCAGGCTGGCTCTTCTGGAGCGGACAGAGGACAATCGAACTCCCAACCTCTAGCTCCACAGCCAGATACCTAAACCACTGAGTTATCCAGCCGGCTTTATGACACTAATACCCTAATATTAATAGCAATACATTGTGGCCCATGGAAGGGCATTAATGACGCCCACACCTGTATGCTTATGGAAGAAAGACAGGGCTTAGTTTCCCCTGATGGTTTTACTCCGCACAATTCCAGACGGGCAGGAGTTGAAGATTACTTTCTGAGTTCCTCACGATGATCAGTTTGACATTTCCAAATGGATGGGAAGACACTTTGTTGATTAATTTTAAAGCCTCACCAGGTTCCTTGCCGTTGGAGGGAGGGTGACACAAGAACCGTTTCTTGCTAACGTCAGTAGTGAAGGAGAAGAATCCTATCATCCCTCATTTGCGTGTTCTGGGACAGCTGTTAGAATGAACCAGTTTCACTCCAGTGTGAGCCGAATATTGCATGAAAACGGTTCAGATAATTCATTCCACGGCTGCTCCAGATGAGGAGAGGGACCGTTTCCCTCTCTAGTTCTCCGGTTATGTCAATATGGTTGTTCTCTCAGTTTAATAGGTAAAATCCATTCTGTAATTAATGAAATAATTAAATCATCCCCCCTGGTTGATTCTTCTGATTGAATTAGCATAGTAATTCAACTAGGCACGGAGAGCGGAGTGTTTTTGGAAGAATTCCATAGAATAGACCCTTTCAGTCAACGTAATTCCACCTGGCAGTTGTTTTTCTTAAAAAAAAAAAAATCCTAAGAAAGTCTATATTTGCCAATGAAACCCATGGAATTATGAAATCCATTTTATCTTCCCATGAGGGAATGAGTACACAACTGTTCAAGTACTTTTTGAAATGTATATTTCAAAATGAGAGCAAATACTTCCACGGAACCATGGGGTTCCGTGTGATTTTGTGTCTCCTGCCCACCGACCCTCTTGTAGGGTCCTCTGTTGCCATTCATAGGTGGGAAAATGGCCATCGCTGAAGCAGGAGGAATCAGATCTTAAACTCAATGTGTGTGTATTCATGACTTCCACCGACATCCTGTCCTAATTTTTGTAGTGCTTAAGAGAATCGCCGACTGGCAAAGATGTTTTTTTATATACTGTAATTGTGCCAACCATGTCATCTCCAGGGACACTTCAGAAGTTTCTGTTCTAGAAGCTATTTTTAGATGTGGATTGGGATCCATTGAATCTGGAGGGTTGTTCAATGAGATAAGGCTGATATTGCTAGACTAAAAGCAAAACGAAAGAGATTTTATCTTCCTTCCTTCCTTCCTCCCTCCCTCTTAGCCATCATCATCACTTCCTTCCTTCCTTCCTCTTAGCCATCATCATCATCACTTCCTTCCTTCTTTCCTTCTTTCCTTCTTTCCTTCCTTCCTTCCTCCCTCCCTCTTAGGCATCATCAATTCCCGCCTGGCAACAGATACATGCATCTTTCTTCAACATACACAGCAAGAGCCAGTTTGTGCATGTAGCTAATGCAGAATTCATACGTTCTCTGAAAATCCTCCCAAAGTCTTGTGTTTTCATTCATGTGCTATTCAAACTCAACCGATCAGTTACTTCCACACTCAGGTTATAGCGTCTTTCCCACTACAGCCTGTCAGAGATGGTGTTGTGAACATGATGACATCGCTCTGTCCGAAAAGCCAACCATATTTTACATCATGGCGATGCTGAGAGTGAACATAGTCCATTTGGAGTGAGAGCAACGCTTGACGTGCCACATTGCCCTCACTCTTGATGGACAGCAGAAGGGAATCCATGTTGAATGTTGGGCAGGAGAGAACATTTTCCCCTCTCAGAAATGAATGCATATGTACCTAGACATTCTGTGAAAAACGTAAAAAAGTTCTATTCCTATTCACAGTGCATTCAAGACTCCCAGATGCACATTTTCCAAAAATTAACTCAATCTGATTCTTTGTTGTGATTGTATCCTCCACTCCACCCAACACACAGAAAATGTACTGTTGATAGTTACCAGATTTGCATTTTGATTCTAAAATAATAGAGGCTGCATGCTTCAGGACATGTTACTATTTATATGATAATTCCGTTCCCTGTTAGTGAAATGCTATTACAGAATACATGTTGGTTTATTCATTAGCGTTATCTAGCAACAACAATAAACAGAACCAAAATGAACAGTGAGGAGATCAGGGGACCAGCTGGTCCATTTTATTGTGCGCTTTAGGTCCTGAAAACTGCCCTCGTCACTTAAGTGTGCAGCCAGCGGTCTGTTGCGTACCATTTTCAAAGACTTGAAAGGTAGTCCTACAAAGAAGGGACAGGATCCGTTCTTGGTCATCCCAGAGTGCAGGACGCATAATAACAGGCTCAAGTTGCAGGAAGCCAGATTCAGGCTGAATATCAGGAGAAACTTCTTAACTGTTAGAGCAGTATGACAATGGAACCAATGATCTTGGAAGGTGGTGAGCACTCCAACGCTGGAGACATTCAAAAGAAAATTGGACAACCTTCTGTTGGGTCGGCTTTGATTTGGATTCTTGCATTAGGCAGAAGGTTGGGTTCAATGGCCTTATAGGCTCCTTCCAACTCTGTTATTCTATGATTCTATCCTCATCAGTGGGAGATGGCCGCTAATTAAAGAGTTTGCTTTATTTTTTTCAGGGTGCGCCTTCTTTTGTCTCATTGGGCGCAAGTTGTGAGCACCCTGAAATTGGAAAAGGTGCTCTTTAATTGCTAGCAATCTGCCACTGACGATGGTGTTCCTCTTATCCAACCAAAGCCGATCCATCAGTTATAGAATTTTTTTTCAAAAAAGTAAATAAGCAGAACAATAAGTAGAATAAGAGTAATTTTTTTAAAAAAAACCTTTGGCATTTCTATAATTGTGAAACAACGATCGTGTCAGAAGCATGCAAACTCAAGAAAACATATACAAATGACCACCAGCAGCTGGCCATCGTCTGACGCTAACGTTTTTCATGCTTAGACTTTCCTCACTCCCAGCGATCTTCTGCTAGTGTTAGGTTGTGGAAACGAATTCTGATCAGATCACCAGGGATCTTCCTTTATGCTTCATCAACGCTGATAATGAGTGTGTTGCACCTTACACAGAGTGACTGTCAAAGTGCAAAAATCAACACACACACACACACACATATTTTCTCATTAAAATACATTTCAGTTCTTAGAAGCTAGGCATCTGTACAGAATCATGGTTCCCTGCCTTGGGTCTCCAGATGTTCTTGGATAGCAAATCCCAGAAATCTTGGCCAGCACTCCAAGGGATGAAGGCTTCTGGGAATTATAGTCAAGAACACCTGGATTACCCAAGGCTGGGAACCACTCGTCTAGAAGGCTGGAGCTCAAGGCTCCTGCTAGAGCAGTGGTCCCCAACCTTGGGCCTCCAGATGTTCTTGGACTTCAACTCCTAGAAATCCTAGCCAACAGAGGTGGTGGTGAAGGCTTCTGGGAGTTGTAGTCCCAGAACATCTGGAGGCCCAAGGTTGGGGACCACTGTGCTAGAGGTCATCTTAGGAAAAAGGCTGTAACTCACACACCTCTCTCTATTTAGGATGGTGGTTCTCCAGCCTTGGGTCCCCCAGATGTTCTTGGACTGCAGCTCCACTGTGAGTGGTGAAAACTTCTGGGAGTTTTACTCCAAGAACATTTGGGGACCCAACGTTGAGAACTACAGGTATAAAAGCTTCACTTATGGAGATCAAAGCTCTTCGACTCATGGTCAGCCAGATGTTTTTCACGGATGCCTCCATCAAGCCCCACTGACTGTGCTTGTGAAGGCTGATGGAAACCAGAGTTTAATATCAGGGTGCTGTGGATGCATTCTGGGTCCCCCCTCTGTTTTTGAAAGGGGATCCGCTAAGTTGCCATCACTTGACATCAACTTTCCAGCATTCTCCCCTTCAGATATTTAGAGTTGGCACCATGGAGATGCCTCCTTCCTCCTTCCTTCCACCCATAACTCCTCAGTGTTGACACTGAGGATCTGCCATGGTGATGTACGCCTCGGTTCGAACACCCTGCTTATTATTGTTATTATCTCTTGGATTTTTCAGGCTGCCCACTAGTGATCTGTGTCATTTCCATCGCTGCCGCTTTGGAAAACTATGGAGAAGAGGAAAAGTAAGTCTTGATACAGGAGATACTGTGTTGATCAAATTTAGGAACTTTTAAATTTTTTTTCTTTCTTTTTTTTTTAAGCTTTCTAAATGGTTTTAAATTTTTGGTTTTAATTTGGATTCATACTCAGTTGTGTTTGTGAAGGCTGATGGAAACCAGAGTTTAATATCAGGGTGCTGTGGATGCATTCTGGTTCCCCCCTCTGTTTTTGAAAGGGGATCCGCTAAGTTGCCATCACTTGACATCAACTTTCCAGCATTCTCCCCTTCAGATATTTAGAGTTGGCACCATGGAGATGCCTCCTTCCTCCTTCCTTCCACCCATAACTCCTCAGTGTTGACACTGAGGATCTGCCATGGTGATGTACGCCTCGGTTCGAACACCCTGCTTATTATTGTTATTATCTCTTGGATTTTTCAGGCTGCCCACTAGTGATCTGTGTCATTTCCATCGCTGCCGCTTTGGAAAACTATGGAGAAGAGGAAAAGTAAGTCTTGATACAGGGAATACTGTGTTGATCAAATTTAGGCACATTTAAATGGTTTTGTCTTTTAAAAAAAAGAGCTTTCTAAATGGTTCTAAATTTTGGTTCTAATTTGGATTGATATTCAGTTGCTTTTAATACAGTTTTTTTTGTATAGCATTTAAAACCTGTTACATTGTATAGTTTTAATGGTTGTGAGCCGGTCTGGTTCCCCTATGAAAAAGAAGAATAAAAAGAATAAAAATGAATGAATGAATAAACAAACGAATGAATGAACAAACGAATGAACTTGATTGATTGACCAACTGACTGAGTGACTGATGGACTGAGTGATTGACTGATTGATTGATTTGAAATATTTTTACCCTACCTTTCTTGGAGGTAAAAGATCCAAGGTGGGTTGCCTCCTTAAAAGGAGATATTTAAAGGTAACAACAACAGTACGTACAGTATACAAATAATTTAAAGGAGCAAACAAATACCACGCCAAAAAATGGTAAGCAAAAGCAACACCAAAAAACACATTCAAAGCAGAAAGGCACAACAATCCATTAAAAAAAAAAACCCACTCGGGCAGCCAGTCGTATGATGGAGAGCTTGTCTGAAGAGAAAGGTCTTGGTCTGCTTGTGGAAGGACAGCAAAGACGGGGCCAGTCAGGCCTCCAGTGGGAAGGAGTTCCAGAGTCTCTGGGAGCAGCCACTAGAGAAGGCCCTCTCCCGTGTTCCCACCAAACGCAGCGGTGAGGGCGGTGGGCTGAGAGAAAACCCTCTCCTGATGATCTTAAAACCTGAGGAAGCTCACAAAGGGTGAGGCGGCCCTCCTTATTTGAAAAAGTGGACATCTTAGAAAGAGAGTATGTATCAAAGGCAGAGATGGTCGCCCCGTTCTGTGTTTCCAGAGAGCTCTATTCCAACCTAAAAACCCATTTAATTTGAATTTGCGGCCACAAACAACATTTTGTGAATACATTTTTCTCTTATTCTGTTTCTCGGCAGCTGCTGGCTTTCACTGACAAATGGAGCCATCTGGGCGTTCGTAGCCCCAGCACTCTTCGTCATTGTGGTAGGTACCACCTCGTCCTTTCCTGCCCACCTGTCTTAGGGATGTCCGTGGCTTGAAGGCTCTCCTTAGCAGCGAACAATTAGGGATGTTAATCTTCTCACAGTTCCTTCTTCGTCCTGTTGGTGAGAGCGGTATAAGTTTTGGGCATTTTAAAAATACGGTGTGATTTAATTTTTTTTTTTTTTTGCAAAATCACAGAAGTGGTTTTTGTGCAACTCCCAAATTTTGTGCAAAACCGTGCCATTTTGCACAAAACACCTCGCCTATGGTGCAAAACGTAAGCTTTTAACACACGAGACCAGGTTCAGGTTCAAAATATAAGGGGCCTTTTCGGGGGCATCTTGATTTGATTTGGGCCCGTCACGAGAAAACAGAGTTCTTTGAGAAAGGCAATAACACTGGGGAAGGGGGAAGGCGGCAGGAGAAGAGGAGGACCAAATGTGCGATGGACTGAATCCCTAAAAGACGCCACCGGCTTGAGCTTGCAAGAGCTTTGAAGGCGGGACCTTTTGGAGATCGCTCCTTCATGGGGCCTCTTAAAGTCAGAGGTGATTTGATGACGCATGACACCAACAAGACCCTCGGTGAATTTCTGCAGCTGAGCAGGGATTCAAACCGAGATTCCCCAAGCCCTGCTCCATCCACTGCGCCCCACGGGGGAATTGCATTACCATTAAATGCTGCATAATCCGTTCACCCCCCCGAAATCTGGGGATGGAGAGACCCAGTGGCCATATGTGCATTTTCTCCCCTGCTGCATTTTTAAACAGCTTTAACACACACACATACACACACTCACACACAAGGGTAAGGGGCATACACTCAATCAAAGGAGAGAAGTTACAGCAGGCCTGTTAAGTTC